AAAATATCATTAATTTAAAATATAATTTGCGGTAATGATAAAATTAATATATATATAATTTAATAATTTAATATATATATATATAAGAATTTAAATAAATTAATATTTATATTCAAATAGATTTAAATTAAAATCAGTTGTATATTTACGTTGAATTATATTAACGTAGAAGTATATATTTCTGAAAATGAAATAAAACAAAATAGAAAAAAATAAACACAAAATTACGAGAAAACTTAAATTAATATCAAAAGAAATAAATAATTACGTAAAATTCATTAAAAACAAAAATTACAATAAATTTCATTAGGAAAAATAAAATTTACGCAGAAATATTTACATTAAAACCGTTATAATTTTCTTCTTCTTTTTCTTCTTCTTCTTCTTCTTCTTCTTCTTCTTCTTATTATTATTATTATTATTATTATTTGCTTTTAAGTGTTTTAACTTATTTTTCAGTTATTTTTCTTCTACTCAGTTAAAATATGATAATACACATTGGTTAAATTTTATCTGATTTATGAAGAATATATCGATAGAAACATTGTGTTAACAATAAGATCGAAGAGAGTATTCTGACAATTTATTTAAAAATATATGTATGTATATATATATATATATATATATATATATATATATATATATATATATATATATGAATGATAAAAATATATTTTTAAGATATGCTATATATATATGGGTAAAAGTGTTCAATATTAGACATGCTTGAAAGTAATCATCAGGACACATCGAAGTATATGCACTATATATCGCAAGTAATGCAAAATAATTTAGACAAAACTAAAACTATAAATTAAACAAATAATATAACTAGCCCCGAAAAAAATAAACAAAAAACTGACATATTAAGTAAAAAATTAAAAAGAAAATTAACAATCTACAAATGCACACTGATAATAACCAAGGAGGAATAATTACTTAATAAATAATAAGTAAAAAGATAAAAAATCGCGATAAATAACCGTATTCGGATTCTCAATTATCCCGATTCAATGGCTGTTAGAACAAATTGAAACATATCGATATTCTTTAAGGTAATACAATATACATTACTACCATTATGAACCACTAACCAGTATATATAAATAGTCGAGCCAAAACACAACCACACATGGCCTGAAGATGACATTCAAGCATGAAATAGACTGTTGCCGCTTGGTGATGATTCAGGGTCTACTTTTCTACGTTTTTTGATTTTGTCGACTGCATAGTGTAGTAGGGTCAGTTGTGCACCTTCTGTGAGAAAAGGAGCACTATAATGCAATTCACTCCGCCAAAAATTTGGAAACAACATGCTGTACTGCTTGGCATTCGCGTCGGAAGCTTCACTACGAACATTTCAGAGTCTCTAGGTATCAATCTGAGGACAGTTCAGGGGATTCGAAAAGAGTTGGATGAGTCTAATGGTGATTACAAAGGTGTTTGGAGTTACCATTTGTGATGACGGCGTTATGCCTCCATTTAGCTTCCCACAGGGACTCAGATTCAACACCGAGACCTATACTATATTGCTTGGTGTGTGTGGGGGGGGGTAATGCTGCTCTGGCTCAAGAGGGTGGCTGCTGGAAGATTCAATGTCAGTCAAAAGAACTCTGTACCATGCCACAGAAGAAGGAGAATCCAGTCTTAGCTGTCAGGCAGTTATTGCAACTATATCACTCTTAACATCAACCCTCTAACACACCAGGCTGCAACCCCCCCCCCCATTGATTATTATGTGTGGGGCGTAGTTCAGCGAGAGTCCAACAAAACTTCTTGCAACACCAAACATGAACTGAAGGCATAGATTATGGCAGCATTCACCAAATTACTCAAGAAGACCGTCCAAAACGGATGCAGGATAGTACGAAGTTGTCTGGGGGTTGTGGCGGAAGCCAATAGCAATTTAATTTAATGAATTTATTCTTTAGTATAGTATGTCATGATATTTTTGTGTAATTTTCGTAAATACATCTGTTAAAATATGATGTCAGTATTATTTTCATTTTTTTGCGTCATTCAGATGACAATTTATTCATCGCTGCCTATATATATATATATATATATATATATATATATATATATGTAGTGTGTGTGCGTGTGTGTGCGTTTGTGTGTCTGTGTTTGTGTGTGTCTTGACGATTTATATATATATATATATATATATATATATATATATATATATATTGCATTTGTATAAGAAATATAAATTGGAGATGAAAACTTGTGGATACTGAATAATTGAATATACATTTCCTTGTTGTTGAAATAAGACGATAATTGGCAGGCATTGCGGAGACCGAAAATCTAGGATCAACTGGATGATTAAAAAAAATAACAAAGAAAAGATATCCAGGCTTTACTCGTGGGTTGGAGCAGAGGGAATGAGCATGAAATGGTTAATTACCCTAATTAATTAGACGAAGACTTGGATTAATCAGTGCTAGACCGAAATTATAAGGATCATGTAAATAAAGAAACAAATGTGTTTAGAGCCGGATAGATTCAAAGTCTCAGAAATATATGCTGCATCTGTCCTATAATATTTGTTACACTTGAATACACATTGTATGTACTAAATGCAGCAATTTTTATGGGGCAGTGATAGCATTATCTAATAAATAATATTAAACTAGTGACGTTCTGTCAACACTGAGCGAAACCTGAATTTTCATCTATGACGATAAATAGGAAATCTCTCAGAAGAGAAAACAATAAAAAACACAAGAATTAAGAAGATAACATTGTATTTAAATTTTGAAGCTCAAATGGGACAAGAAAGTCTGAAATCAGGAGAGAGTTCCACAAGTGTGGGGGAAAATAATGTTAGCATAGAACTTACGCTCATATCTAGCCATTACAGAAAAATGATAAGACCTTGCCACCAGTCTAGTACTTTGCTTAAATTCATCATATCTACTTACAATAGAAAAAAATCTCATCAGAACAATTATCATGAGAATATTTATCGAAGTCACATTACGGCAGTGGGAAATTGACTGAAACCGAGATGCTAAATCATGACCGATAACATTGCAAATTTTAATTTGGTTTTTATCAAGAATCTCTAAATACATACCAGAAGCTCAAGGCCAAATATATATTTGATGGCCTTTCCTATCAAATCTGAGTTTTCGAAGGGACAGTTTTCAAGTACTGCCAAAGATGACTTGGTGAAGTAATCTGTTAATCCAGCTAAAGTTTACAAAAGAAAAATGGGGCATGACGTAACAGTCTTTTTTATCATTAAGTTTAACCTCCCGAAAATGATGTCAAAGCCTCGGAACATTTACATGTACTTAAACTTAAAAATCTTTTCAATTCATGCAGATTAAATTGAAATGTCTAATCCCTTCTCATCGCTTCTTAAGCTGATATTTCAACCATTAAATCATTTTTTCTGTCGAATTCAGACAGAAGCAATTCATCTTTAATATTAATTAAGAAAATTCGTTAATGGTGTTTCTCATAATGTGAAGTCATCTAGTCTCAAAATTCCAAACTATCTTCCATAATTGTTTTATTAGGTTGTTCGAAAAATAATGTCTGATTTTAGGGCCAACTTTGATTTCTTAATTTATTTATTTAAACAGTTTTTAAATCAGTCATTTCCCAATACATCCATCTGCTATCGACTTACAAGGTTATTAGGTTGGTGCAAAAATAATGACGTAATAATGTCGTTTTTTTCACGTATTTTTTAAGGTCAAAAACGACATTATTACGTCATTATTTTTGCACCAACCTAATATTTATGCTTTTACGATAAAACTTTAAAGGTTTGAATGACGATATATCTTTATATGTAGTTTCTACATTTTTGCAACTGAATGTTATTTAGCTTAAAAGAATCCCGAAAAAGTGGTAGTCAATGACTAAGAGATCAGGGTAATAGGCTGGATATAGCAAAGCCTCAAATCCCAAGTAGGTGAGCTTCTTCAGTGTCGTCTTGGCAACATGTGTCCGATTTTTGTGATGATGCAGAATTGGATTCCGTCACTTAACCAGTCCCGGTCACATTTCGCGTAACTGATTGTGGATATCATTCAGCTGCTGACAGTAAATTTCAGCAGTGTTACTCTAATGACATTTCAGAAAGCTGTAATGGACAATGCCAATGGCGGAAAATCGGAGGCTCACTATAATATTCTAGTGGCGCAATTTCGGTTCTGGCAAGATTTAGGTTCTTCGTCATGATCAAACCATTAAGCCGATCATTTACGATTGTCATAAAGGATCCATTTCCTATCAAAGTCAATAATCCACCAAAAAATAGATCATTCAAACTTCGCCGATGCAGCAATGGACAAAATTCAAAATATTGAACAATATGACTTCCATTGCGTACATGTAGAAAACATTTATTGAGATTCTTCACCTTGTCAATTTTCTTGAGATGGTGCGATATTGTTGAAATGTGGATATCCATTATCTGAGACATTTCTCTGACACTTTGACGTGGGTTTTGTTTTACTAGTATTTTCATATGTTAACTGTCAGTTGCAGATGAATAACTTCAGATTCGTATCCCCACTGCGGAACTTCATAAACTAACGTCGGACATTTTAATCATTAGGAATGAGTAATATATGTTTGTGCAATTATTATTATAATATGTTAGAACAAAATTAAATTGGACCTTATTTTCCGAACAACCTAATACATTAAACAATCTATCTCAGGATCACCGTGGGCAATTTGACATATTGTAATGGATAACAAGATTGTCCCTCTAGATCAATTACCACCTGTATAGTGAGTTCGATCCTCACTGACCATATGCTGCATCTAAGCTACGCTTATAAAATCATTATGGTCACCTCGACGTGGTGTAATGGTTAGCAAGAATATCACGCAAGGTCAATTACGACTGAGTATTGTGTTCGATCATCACTGTGTGATCTATACTTATGGCCTTTTGGCCTAGCGGAGCTACGCTTGGTAAATCACTATATCAAAAATACCGTACATAGAATTTTATCTGCTGTATTATTGCTTTTCTAAATTCGTACGCTAAGTCTGATTATATCATGAATGTAAAATGTGGAAAAAAATGAAATTGTAAAAGAAAAAGAGAAAGTAAAAGAAAATAGAAAGAAAATAAAACAAGCGACAAAAGTTGAAAAAGCGAAAGAAAAAGTGAGAGAAGAAAAGACATAAAAACAACGGATAAGACAAAAATGGAAGAAAGAAATAAAAAAGTGAAAAGTGTTAGAAAGAAAGTCATAAAGAACAAACCAACCCATCAAAATGAAAAAAAAATAAAAGAGAGAAAAAGGGAACAAGACAAAAAGAAAAATAATAAAAAAAATGTAATCGAAAGAAAAGGAGAAAGAAAAAAGAAAAATCATGTGAAAACAGAAATAGACAGAAAATTTGGATAGAATGAAAAAGTACAAAAATAAAAGAAATAGAAAAATAAGTGAAAGGAAATAGACGCTAAGAAAAAGAAAGACAGACATGAGAAAAAAGAAAGTGAAAAGTAGAATTAATAGAGAAAGGAAGAAAGAAAAATGAAAGAAAGAAAGAAACAGACAAATAGACAAGTAACTAAATAATCTCACAAAAGGAAACTGAAAAGAAAAGAAAGAAAGAGAGAGAAAGGAAGCAAGAAGGAAAGGAGAATCAGATCAAGAGATAAATGGAACAAAAAAGAGAATGACAAAGAGAAAATGGATATAGAAAGTATGGAGATAGAAAAAAGAATCAAAGAATAAACAAATAAAAAAACGAATAGTGAGAAAAGGAAACAGACGATAAGGAAAAGAAGAACAGAAAGAAAAGTAGAAAGAAAAATTGAAAAAATGAAATAGAGATAAAGAGTTAGTGAAAAGGAAGAATGAAACAAAGAGAAAAAGAAAAGAGAAATAAAATGAAAAGAGGAGAAAAATTGAAAGTAAAAACTAAAGAATATGTAAGTAACGGAGATAAAGAAACGGGACCAAGGAAAGGAAAGTCAAAAATGGGGGTATAGAAAAAAAAAAAAAAAAAGAATGAATAAAAATAAAAAGGGAGAGGAAATGAACCGGAAGTAAACTACAATAAGTTTACGTAAAAGAAACAAAAGGAGAAATAATTCGTTAGATGGTGGTGTCTGAAATATTTGTTCTACCTCGTCGACTGCGACAATTTCCGGAACCCACGAAACCCTATGTCAAAATACAATTGGATAACAAGGAAATCATAGCAACAGATAGATAGATAAATATGTCGGATATGGACTAACGGACAAGCAGATTATGGTTGGAGGAGGAATAGTGAGAAATATGACCCGATGAAAGAAAGAACATTTACGAGAAAGATCCCCAGGAAATACACGGATCTTGCTCTAATATGTGCGGGCAATTAAAAGCAACCTTTTCCGGATGCAGGAAGTCTGAAAAATAATGGCCACTTGCAAAGCGTACACATTGAGTAATGTCAAAAGATATTAGATTGGTAAAATGCAACATTTATTACTTTTACGGCGTTTTAAAAAAGATTTTTTCTCGTGCGGTTAAAGAAATAAACGCAAGCGAGCTGAGTGGTCGTTGCAGAATTGATAATCTTTATTGCCATACAGTTTTAGTATTGGCACAAAACATCACGGAAAAGACGACTTCGAACTCTGATAATGTGATGATGCCAGGCGTTGGTGATTTTCAAAACATTGTAGGGTAAAAATATATATCTAAAATTTTTCAAGATCAGTTTGGAGAGAATTACTATAGTCGGCGTGGAAGTAGGGATACCTTTCAGCAAAGACATGCGGAATACAAGAAGGAACACGACAAATCAATGAAATAAAATTCTTGCTGGCGTTGATGTTTGTTTCACATTTTTATCGAGGATAAATAAAGAAATTAAAATGAATGAAAAAAAAACAAAGATGATGATTAAAACGAAAACATAAAACAAATTCAATGTCTGCATATAAGTCAATTCCTGATTTAAAAACTCACTGCTGATCTCATGACCAGTATAATTAATTACATTGAAAAGTCAGCCAAGGCCATACTCGTTTAGAGTAGACAACAATAATTAATTAATTAATTAATTAATTAATCTATCTATCTATCTATCTATCTATCTATCTATCTATCTCATTCAGATAGATAGATATGAACAGTGACAGATATAGTTAAATAGATAAGAGAGCGTATCTATGTGCATAACCTGTGATCTCGTTATTAGCGATATGTTAGCTATAAAAATAAATAAAAATGTTAATCAAAGTAAAAAAAGGACACACAGTCAAAATCTAATTTGTATAACGATAAATTAAATCAATTGTTTAGACCCTGGAACCATACCTTCTTCGTGTCCGATTAAAATAACTTTTTTTTTTTTTTTTTTACATATATTACGATAATTTTTTTTTTTTTTACATATATTACGATAATTTCCCAGAAATTTTCCAACCTATTTCATTAAACCTTTCATTTTTCAAACTTATTCTTTGGGATTACAATGTAGAGAGGAAAAAGAACGGACACCAAGAAGATATGGGTTCATCATCGATTTTGCTCTTTCTCTCTTCCTCTCTCTTTCTCTCAATCAGACGTACACTCTCAAATACTCCCCAAATATATATATATATATATATATATATATATATATATATATATATATATATATATATATATATATATATACTGATGGTGGTGTAGATATGCACTGACTCAAAGGAAAGTTATAAACCAGTTGAGACAGATATAAAAAACTGAAATCAATACAAAAATAATGACATGAAAGTATAAAGTAAAAAAGAGGAGAAAAAGAAAGAATGAATACATGAAAATAATGACTTAAAGATGGAAGATAGGAGAACAAGAAGTGTTCGATTAATAGATAAGATTGCAGTGTAGAAAAGAAACAACAAAAGCGTCGGTATATATAGGTCTGCATAGGTTATGTGGCTATATAACAATAAAATCCAAAGATGAAAAACGCCTTGAAGTGTGAAGATGCACACAAAAGAAAAAAAAAAACTTTTTTTGCTGACGCACTAACATCAAAAGACGTCAACCTCTTCAAATTGTTTTGAAGATCTTTACTGGTTTCTTTCTTACCGATATTCCATCTACTTTCGACCATTTTCATTTGTGTCATGTTCAAGTCGGCGTTTCTCCTTGTCCAACTCCTCAATCAAAAAACAAAACAAAAATAATATATGTCTGAAGGCATCCTAGAGCACATAAAAGAATCAAGAAAAGAAGAGTCTGTTGGAAAAATTCTACCGAGTAGCGCTGATTTTTATATTTATTTTTTGACACTGAGGCCATACCGATACCTGAAAAACTGTCATAAATTTACTGACCCAAACTGTATCTGGTCAAATCAAGAGTTCCCTAATAGAACTCTTCTACATTCATTTTAAATATCACCAATGGGCATTTTCTTGCGTTTGAGGCATTGATTCGAAATGAACCAAAATTTGAATATGTTAACTTAAAAACATGAATTGATCTCAAATTCTCAATGAGCAATAATATGATTAATATTCCTCCCTGAATTAAGTGCAGTGACAAGCAAGAAGGATAGTTTGAAAAATAATTACAGTTCCTCCATTAGTAATCTAGTGCGCGCGTTACCCCTTAGCATATTTTCAGATACATATTGGGCCATTCCGTTTTGATTGCGAGGAAAGATAGAATAAAAATATATCGGAGACGCTGTGTAGTTTTTGCAAGATGAAGAAAGCAAAGATAATAATAAGAAAGAAAGAAATGAAGAAAGAAAGGAAGAAAGAAAGAGAGCATAGATGAGTCGATAACACCTCCATGCGCTTCACGTCTACTTCAGGGGAATGGAAGACATTTTCAATTTTAAATCTTTTCATTTGAACGCTCTTACTTCTTTAAACAATGACCTGCATTCATACTTATGATTGATACTGCAATATTTTGTTATTAAAACTTTTCAAGTCTCGGATTTAATGTGATGTTAGTTCTATGGAGTTACCAGCTAGAAACCAAGTTAATATATTTTATTTAAATAACACAAAACACACCAATAAAATCATATAATGCTTGTTGTCCCTTCGTTAGATAACTAGTTAGCATGTGAGTTAAGCCCTGACATTACGTAAGATAAATAATGAACCATTCAATTTTGATTGCGAGGAAAGAAGGCAGAAAAAGTTATACCACTGACACAGTTTGGTTTTAGTGAGAACAACAAAGTATACATAATAATAATAATAATAATAATAATAATAATAATAATAATAATAATAATAATAAACGAAATAAAGATAGAGGTGGCGATGATACTCTCATACATTTACTTCAGTGAAACAGAACTCTCTTTGTAATCTTTTAGAAGCAACGCTCTACGATAAACACGTGTCATCTACACAACGAGTGAAGACAAACACATAAATCAAAAACTGGATTATTTCACTTTCAAAAATCTCTTATGGAAGTAAATGGCGAAACATGTCAAAATTATAATTTTATTCATGCTAAATTAAATTATTAAATCCATACCCTGAACTCACACACACACACACACACACACACACACACACACACACACACACACACATATATATATATATATATATATATATATATATATATATATATATATATATATATATATATGCACATTGTGGCGCAGATAAATCCGGGATATTTACATCGTAAAAGTGCCGAGACAATACAGCGCAGCGAGGTTTAAACAGCACCATTAGAAAGTAGTAGACCTCAGTAAATGTTACGTCATTGACACACGAGGTGCTTTGTAATCAACATATGTCTTCGGAATACGATTGCTGTTCTTCGCGTCGCCCACAAATCCAAGGAAATCAATGAATAATTTAAATGCCCCCAAACCATGGACTACGACAAGGGTCGGCAACCTACGGCATTTTGACCGGCCCGCGAACCTGTTTATAAATGACTATTTTTAACATGAGAGACGAGGCTTTCGAATTAGACTATCTGCCAATTATCCTTCATGAGACTTATTTTACCAAGTTGCGTTGCCTACGTTTAATGTCAAATAATGAATACATATTTGTTATGACCCTTGGCTACATTAAAAGATAACAGAAGTGAAAGGAACGGTAAATTGAATGAGGCTAGGGAGGGACTGACATGCGAGGTAGAAGAAATCTAAAGACAGTTAAACATACGCGCATTATACATACATGACTCATGAATATGTGGATGATACCGCATGTGTACGTACGTAAGTGTATATGTTTGCAAGTATTTGTACTCGTATGTATGGGTATATGTGCTTCGTTTTTGTTTGATGTGTGTGTGGTTCGTTTGTGGAACAATTTTCAATAACAGTTTCAAACCTACATGTCATAATTTCATCCATTTCACTTCGGTTGATTTTTTTCACTTTGAAGTATTTTGACGTTCCTTGAGGAAAAGTAATTTTTGTTAGGTGTTTTTTAATTTTAGATTTTTTTTTGTTTTTCTGATTTCTCAATGTTTATTTTCATTGTTGTTTTAAATATTTAGGTTGACAGGGGTTTGCATATGTAATTTTTCTTAATTTTTCATTAATGGCCTTCGTCCAGCCCGCAAACCGTCATTATATCATGATCCGGACCGCGGGGTCGAATGAGTTGCCGACCCCTGGACTACGACATTGGAAAGGCGTATGAGGCCTCAGGCGACAATGGCAATTTCTGGCCATAACGCAAGTCTCATAAAAAACACACTGCCACCACTAGGACGCCTGAGTTCTTCGCCGACGTTGCCGAGTTTGTCAAGAAGACCCCAATCAAAAGCACGAGGAAAATCGCCAAGAAAATGGGCACCAGCAGGGGAAATAATCGGGCGAATTGTCAAGCAAGACTTGAATTAAAAATCTTATGTGCCACTTGCTCACCATACGACTGGTCGCCCGACTTATCCCTCATCCTTGCTCGTCAGACTACAATACTCTCGACTATGTTGTGTGGGGCGTTTTGTAAAAGGAAGTGAACAGCAGGCCCTATAAAACCAAGGCCTATCCTAGCTTTCGATGTGGCTACCATCAAGGAGGTCACAAAGGCCTATTTGATGGTGGCCACATCGAGTGATTTTTTTTACATATATTCTATGTGCGTGTGTATATTTTTCATTGAAATATATTAATTATATATATATATATATATATATATATATATATATATATAACTGTGTTTTTATTATCCATTAATATTTGGGATTTATCTGCACCACGCGTGGGAAAATATCAAATAAACTAATTAACGAGTTTCTGTAAATAGATATCAAAATAGGGACTGGATGAGATTAAAAGGGGACAGGCATTGCTAAGAGTTACAAGGTATACAAAGTTTTGG